TATTGTTGTCATTTTAATGGTTTATTGATTTATTTTTTATTAACTACTATGATTATTATTACTTTTTAGCACTTGTAATGTTTTCACTGTGTAACTTCTTAATCCCTGTTCTCTGCATTGTCTTTGTAAATGAGGGTCTCCTTCAATGTACATTGATTGACTGATCAATTGATTGATTGAAATGGTTCTTCAGATTGATGGAAAATGTAATGTATATGGTTCTATATAGCACCTTTTTGAAAATGATTCTATATAACACCAAAAGGGTTCCTCTATAGTTACAATATCAAACCTTTAACAGTAGAAGATCCCTTTGCGGTGCTATATAGAACCATTTTCTTTACTAAAGAACCCTTGAAGAACCGTCTTTTTTTACGTGTGTACATTCTGCAGGGAGGTAGTTGAATATTACGCTGATCGTGACCCAGATGAGCTCCTGCAAGTTCATTTGTCATTTCTGTTTGGAGGCAGTTGGGAGTCCAGCAGCTGAACTCTGATAGAGCAGAAAGCTGCTGTTCCACCAATGGACCACACGAGGGCGCCATTTATGCAGCTGCAGGAAGATCTGGTGCTGAACACACCGATCACAGTAACGTTACTAAATCTATACTTAATTCAAATGTGTACATCCATCCATCCATCCATCCATCATCTAAACCGGTTATCCTTCTGGGTCGCGGTTGAAATGTGTACATCATTAATAAATATGGATTACGTCAACACAGCTGTTACCAAAAGAAAATGTGTTGATATATTTTATTCATGTGGAAATGAATGTGTGCACATTTGAATCACGTGAATTCAGAGCACATTTCAGCCACCTTTACTGAAAGAGATGCATGTACACACACGCACACACACACACACACACACACACACACACACACACATATTTAAACATTGCATGAATAGACATTATATACATATATGCATGTACACACCCATTATATATATATATATATATATATATATATATATATATATATATATATATATATATATGTCCATCTGTAGCTACACATCATTTATCAGCCACTCTCAAGTCCATCTATCCAAGAGATCAATGTGTCTGCATACTGGACACTTTATATTTTTGGGTGGGGCACCACTCTCAACCCAGCAGTGACAGAGGCATGTGGAAACCTCAGCAACATATCAGTTTTTAGAAATGTCACTTTTCATTATATATCAATATTGATTCCATAACTATTAAAGTTCATTCAATATATAATAATATTAATTCCATATGTATCAAAGATCATTGTACACATTGTACACAGACAGACTACAGTCTATAATAATCTGTAGTCTATATAGTAAGTGAAGCTGATAAAATGGACATGCTCAGTGAGTATATATATATATATATATATATATATATATATATATAGATATATATATATATATATATATACACTCTTACTATGCTCTGTGTAAGTAATGCAGTTTATCAGACTCGTTCTAGTGACTGGATCACCCTTCAGGTGCTGAGAGCTTTACTGAGCTGGACTTACAGAAAACTCTACAGCTTCGCTCTCTGGAGTCTCTAACCACCTCCACACAGCCTGACACTGCTTTATTTGATTTTACTTAACTTTTAATATGATTTTTGGTACGTTTTAGCTGTGTCTTAGTTATTGTTTTACTTTTTACTTCTTTACTTTTTATCATTCTTTTTATTCCTGTTATTTCCTTTATTAGTATTCTTTTTATTTCTGTTATTACACATTGACTCCTTATTGTTTTCTTTTTATTTTATTTTTTATTCTTTTGATCCTTCCATAAACTGCTTTTCTGTTAATCTGCTTTGAGACAACACTAGTTGTAAAAATTGCTGTACAAATAAATGTTGTTGTTGTCAATTTACTGTCTTACGTCTCCTCTTTCTTTTATTTCATTAATATATGTTTTTATTTATTTTATCCTTATCTGATCTGTTACTAGTTAAGTTACTATATTGTAATTTTAATGGTTTATTGATTTTAATGTTGCATTGGTACCTTCTTATTAAAGTTTACTATTATGATTTTTTATCATTTTATTATAACATTTGAATTATTTTTGCTATCCAACTTCTCAGTTCCTGATTTCTGTATTGCTCGGCTACATTGTAAATGAGGGTCTCCCTCAGTGTATTAGATTAGATTAGATTAGATTAGATGAGATTAGATTAAACTGTATTGTCATTGTGCAGAGTTCAAATAAAGAGCCAATGAAATGCAGTTAGCAGCTAACCAGAAGTGCAAAATACAGTATTATTCACATATAAAGTGCAGAAGGACTGTATATAGTGGTAAAAAATATATAGATATGCAGGTATAAATATAATATTCATATATACAGAGAGAGTGGAGGGCGTACAGTGAGGTGCACAATGTAAAAGATAAGTATGCAGAGTAAACCTGTAGAGTAATAGACACAATATGAATAGTGCAGTAATAGACTGTGCAAATATGAATAGTGCAGTAATAGACTGTGCAAATAAGAATAGTGCAGTAATAGACTGTGCAAATATGAATAGTGCAGTAATAGACTGTGCAAATATGAATAGTGCAGTAATACCAGGATATAAAGTACAGTAATAGCGCACTGAGTGCAAAGATGCGGTTAAAGTGACGCTGTGGAGGTCAGCAGGGTTAAAGCCTCAGGGAAATAGCTCTTCCTGAGGCTGCTGGTTTGGGAGCGGAGGCTCCTGTAATGCCTGCCAGATGGGAGAAGGGTAAAAAGTCCGTGGTCAGGATGAGAAACATCCTTGATGATGTTCCTGACCAGGCAGCGCTTATGGTAAATGTTCTCAACAGATGGTAACTGGGCACCTGTGATGGGTAGTTTTCACCACCCGCTGGATTCCAGGTTTAAATAAAGTTGATTGACTGATTGATTGATTGATATATATTTATGGGTGTCTTAAAATTAAGGAAACACCCATATAAAATGAGAATTGTTTGGCAGACGCTGATCCAATTTTAGATGCGGTCTGTGGGGGAAGGGGGAACCTGTTAGGCCATGGAACATGGAACATTTCCTGATTTCTAAAATTGGATCGCCATCTGCCGAACCGTTTTCATTTTATGAAGGTGTATCTGTAAATATCTGTGTTCAGTCCTAGTTCCATTTTCTAAAGGCGATATTCAATTTTTTAAGACAACACTTTTAGGATAATTACCCACTGTATTTAAAACACATACCAACATACAATCTTCAGGTGAAACACCTTCAATGCTTGTTTCTCAGCTATTTTAAAATCAGCACACAGCATGAAACATGTGTGCTAGATTAATTTTAAAGAGGACCTTAATTAACTCCTTTACAAACACTGACACACCTGCTAAAGCCTGAGTAGACTGATAAATCAATGTGATGATCAGTTATTAATCTCAGTGTTACTGAGCTCTGCTAAAGCCTGAGTAGACTGATAAATCAATGTGATCAGTTATTAATCTCAGTGTTACTGAGCTCTGCTAAAGCCTGAGTAGACTGATAAATCAATGTGATCAGTTATTAATCTCAGTGTTACTGAGCTCTGCTAAAGCCTGAGTAGACTGATAAATCAATGTGATCAGTTATTAATCTGTGTTACTGAGCTCTGCTAAAGCCTGAGTAGACTGATAAATCAATGTGATCAGTTATTAATCTCAGCGTTTCTAAGCTCTTTTGAGGGATGATTAAATGAATAATCCCCGCTGTAGTGAACATGTTTGTAGGTGAAAAGTTCAGCATCGGTGTTGTACTGGACTCCTGCTCAGGGGATTGTGGGAGCGGCCGTGGACTGATGCAGGTGATGAGAGAGAAAAAAAAATGTTGAGAATTTTTGGAACTTTATTTAAATGATCAGCGAATTTCTCATCAAATTTATCAGCAGAAGAATTACATGAAGAAAACTGCCGACCAGTAATATCATCGAGCAGTGTGAAGTGGGAAACAGTTTAAGGTAAACAGTCCAATGTGCTTCATCATGATGTATTCTAAACGCATTCTGAATATGTTACTATATATGTAAAACAATGGAATATATAACATTACAGTATGTTACAATACATTTAGCACAGTGTATTCAGGTTTCAGTCATCACTACTGTTTCAAAGTATTCTGACCAACCCTGTATACATACATACACCAATCAGGCATAACATTATGACCACCTCCTTGTTTCTACACTCATTGTCCATTTTATCAGCTCCACTTACTATATAGGTGCACTTTGTAGTTCTACAGTTACAGACTGTAGTCCATCTGTTTCTCTGCATACTTTGTTAGCCCCCTTTTACCTGTTCTTCAGTGGTCAAGACCCCCATGGACCCTCACAGAGCAGGGTGGTGGATCATTCTCAGCACTGCAGTGACACTGACATGGTGGTGGTGTGTTAGTGTGTGTTGTGCTGGTCTGAGTGGATCAGACACAGCAGTGCTGCTGGAGTTTTTAAACACCTCAGTGTCACTGCTGGACTGAGAATAGTCCACCAACCAAAAATATCCAGCCAACAGCGTCCTGTGGGCAGCGTCCTGTGACCACTGATGAAGGACTAGAGGATGACCAACACAAACTGTGCAGCAGCAGATGAGCTATCATCTCTGACTTTACATCTACAAGGTGGACCAACAACGCATGTGTGTCTAACAGAGTGGACAGTGAGTGGACACAGTGTTTAAAAACTCCAGCAGCACTGCTGTGTCTGATCCACTCATACCAGCACAACACACACTAACACACCCTAATATATATATATATATATATATATATATAGCCATTTGTTTGCTGATAAGTGATAAATTTCACAACAAATGAACTGCAGCTCATGTATCTGTATGTTGTTATTGATGCTGTGGGCTCTACTAAGGCAGAGTGGGAGAGTTTGGACTTTTAATATATGAAATACATGCTGCTGATGAACCACAGCAGCCTGTAAAAGCCCAAAAACAGGCACAAGAGTGAATGTATGCAGAGTTTCTGTGAGGACTCCCAGCTGAGAGCACATAAAGGAGAATAAACAGAACAAAAAATAACAGGTACATATTTATTTCACACATTTTTCTGATTGTTACACAATTTGAGGACAGGTTAAGTTTTTCAGTGATTAATGCTGAAAGGCACAGAGCTTCATTCCACCGGCAGCGGAGGACTGGGGTGAGGGATTATAACGAGAGTAAGTGGAGAGGGGTTTGGGGGGGGGGTTAAGGGGGGTTTGAGGGGGGTTTAGTGGGGGGTTTAGTGGGGGGTGTTAGAGAGATACTGGAGTTTTGGAGATTTCTTTTGGAAAAGAAACAAGACCGGCTCCATCGTTCGCCACAGCCAGACACGCTCCGTTCAGACTCTCATCCTTCACCAGCAGCAGCAGCGCTTTAGCCACCTCCTCCACTCTGTTAACACAAACACCCAAACCTTCAACTGCAGAACAACAACAACAACAACAACAACAACAACAATAATAATAATAATAAGGGGAGGAGAACATTTTAGAACAGTCTGAATGGGAGGAGAATGTTTTAGAACAGTGTGAATGAGAGGAGAACATTCTAGAACAGTGTGAATGAGAGCTGAATATTTTAGAACAGTGTGAAGAGAACATTTTAGAACAGTTTGAATAAGAGAAGAACATTTTAGAACAGTGTGATTGAGAGGAGAACATTTTAGAACAGTGTGATTGAGAGGAGAACATTTTAGAATAGAGTGAATGGGAGGAGAACATTTTAGAACAGTGTGATTGAGAGGAGAACATTTTAGAATAGAGTGATTGAGAGGAGAACTTTTTGAATAGAGTGAATGGGAGGAGAACATTTTAGAACAGTGTGATTGAGAGGAGAACATTTTAGAACAGTGTGATTGAGAGGAGAACATTTTAGAATAGAGTGAATGGGAGGAGAACATTTTAGAACAGTGTGATTGAAAGGAGAACATTTTAGAACAGTGTGATTGAGAGGAGAACATTTTAGAGTAGAGTGAATGGGAGGAGAACATTTTAGAACAGTATGAATGAGAGGAGAACATTCTAGAACAGTGTAAATGGGAGGAGAACATTCTAGAACAGTGTCAGTGTTCAGTGTTTGATGTTAAAACTGAAAACTAGATTTTTTTTTATCCCTTTAAAGTGGAGAGAAAACACTATAAATCAGACAGTAACTCACTCCAGCGCAGGAAACTTCTCCATTAATGAGCGCGTAAAATCCGATAATCCGATAAACTGTCCGGTTTGCTCTTCCAAATTGAAGCTGTCGATTAGGGGCGTTCGTACGAAGGTGGGACACAGCACGTTAACCCTGACGCCATACTTCGCCCATTCTGAAGCCGCCTGGAGACACACAGACACAAAAGCTGGGTGAGCTACAGTCCACTGCTCTCTCTGGATGCTTTCCAGTGTCAGAAACGTAACGAGAAAAAGGAGAAATCCTACGATTTGAAAGACTAGAATCACGTTCTAGATAATAGTCTGATTTGAAGCAGTAATAACAGGCAATAAAACTATGATGCCCTGCATATCATTTACACAGGTCATGAAGTTAAACATATGAACATTCAAACTATGGCAGCAAAACACACTGAGAACAAAACTGGCCCAAGAACAGAGCCCTGTGGCACACCATAAGGAAAATAATGTTTTTTGGACGTATGTCCTAGATCAGGGGTCTCAGGCATAAATTAATTGGGGGCAACAAGCCACGTGGTCTTCCCTTCGGGGGGGAGCAGTAAAAAATGCAGGAAAATTTTAATAACATATACACTTGTTAAAGCACATTTTAATAAATGTTTTAGTAATTCTTCTGCCGCAGCAAACCACAACAACTTCTAATAATAATTATGATTATTAGCAGAAAAAATACAGAATGTTTAATAAATATTTATAGTGTTCAGTTAAATCAGGTAATCTTATATTTAACAGAAGAATTATTATACTGTGATAATGTTATTGTTATAATTAGCCCCAGACTATATATATATATATATATATATATATATATATATATATATATATATATATATACACTTAAATTTGCAGTTGGAAGCTGTATGTTGAGCCTCCCCAGACACACAACCCATTTTACCATTTTGTCTTTTTTAGTTATTGTTTAATTTAGCTGCAATACAAGCTTCATACACATGAAGGACTAATGCAGTCATGCAGTCTTCCAAGCATCTGAAAGAGGCTTTTAGCCTGAAACTAAAGAGGGAACTGGAGAACCTGCTCTTGTAAATAAATGAGAGATGAGAAAGAACAAAAGAAGGACAAAAAGGTGAATTCCAGGGTCCTACAAATCCTCAGAGGGACTAACAGGTCAACAGTACAATAGCAGAAGATAAGAAGGGAAGAGGACGTACAGCTAAAGCTCGGCTGAAGCCCACCACTCCGTACTTGGTGGCAGTGTAGATCGGAGATGGGGGCAGTGGACCCAAACCTAGAAGAGAAAAGCATGAGCACAGGGTTAGAACGCAGCTACACTGTGAACGTCTTATTAAAGTAAATAAAACTGACAGTGACACCTGAGGTTGTAGTCGGTTTATTCTGGTTTCTATTCTTTTTGCTCTCAATTTCTTAACACAGAAATTTTGTGCTTAAAGTTCTTTTAAAAACACTCTGGACTAGATTCATAAACCTCAGCAGTTACAGCGCTAAGTCACGCAAAACATGCAGCACAGTGAATAAGAGCTACTCTTAAAGCCACTGCGGCTGTGATTAGCCTGTGGCTTTTTAATGCTGCTTTAATGCAAGAGCCAATCAGAATTCACATGCAAATGAGGTCATACATATTAAAGACCTGCCAAGTGAAGCTCTGGTTGGCTGCCAAAATGGGCACAATGAAAGAAATGAAAAAAAACAGAAACAAAGAAAAGCAAAATGCTCAGAAACAGAGCTACGGATTTTAAAAGAAGGAGAAACTTTATCAAGACCTTTTTGTTTTTACTACATTTAAATTAAAATTGAATGTAAAATTCAACTTTTAATTTAATTTCATTTCCCGGTTCATTATAATTACAGTAACAATTTTTACGAGAATAAATTAAAATTTAACATTTGTTTTTTTTTAAGTAAAAATTAAATTAAAATGTTGAAATTCTAACTACTATGGCAAATATTTTAGCATTTATTTCCTATTCTTTTGTTCAGGAATTCAATTTACACATGTGAAAATGAAATTTCAATTAGTTAATATTTACATATTGTTATCAAGAATTTGATTTGCGCATATGAAAATTAAAATTCCAAGATTAAATTTAAATATTGACAAAAATTCATAAAAATTAAAATGTACTTGTAAGAAATTAATTGTTACTAGTAAATATGTCATTTTTACAGGTGTGAATTGTTAATTATGGGTAAAATCTATAATATTGGAAAATAGGATTAAAAGCTAAAATCAATTCAACATGTAATCAGAATCTCAATACATCACACTGCAAACAGTCACGGTTAGTTATTCATTTTTAATTTAAGGCAGGCAGAAATTTTGGTCATACCAAACATTTTTCTTTTGAACTGTAATCACAAAAATAAATGTTTTTTTTTTCCGGTATGTTTAGTCAATTCACTAAAGATTTGCTGTGATATGGACTGTTTTACAAAGTGTTTCAGAAAAGGACTCTGCTCACCTGCAGTCTCGCTTTAAAAACACTGCAAGCTAAACAGATCCAAGCAAACGGAGGTGTTTTTTTTACAGTGCAGAGAGATTTAGCCCAGTCCAGCAGAGAGATTTAGCCCAGTCCAGCAGAGAGATTTAGCCCAGTCCAGCAGTGATTTAGCCCAGTCCAGCAGAGAGATTTAGCCCAGTCCAGCAGTGATTTAGCCCAGTCCAGCAGAGAGATTTAGCCCAGTCCAAAGGGACTTTTATTCAAACACATTAATTTCTTTCATTAACTGATTTTTTTGGATATCAATTAAATAGCAAATAAAAATCTAAAAGTAAATCTAGATTCAAGCTTCAGAATGGAATCTGTCTCCTGTAGACTCATGCATAATAATTAATTATTTGCATTTGTTCCAGTTTATGCAAAATCTGCTCACATTAGGAAATACAGAGGAAAGTGATGCTAATAAAATGCATTACTGATGTATTATGTTAGAGTAACTGTTTTAGTGTTTTCAATGAAACAAAATGTTTATAGTTCAGTTTTAAATCAGGCTTTGTTCTTTTTTCTGTCTCCTTCTCTGATTCCGAAAGTTTCCTGAATAATTTAACTTCATTTGTGTACCTGCTAATGATGCAGTGTTAACGATGACTCCGCCCTGTCCTCCGTTCTCCTTCTTCATGTGGTCCAAAGCCAGATACGTTCCCCTCACCACCCCATTCTGATTAACAACAACAACAACAACAACAATGTTGAGAGATTTAAGAAAATCAGCCCAGAAGCGCCCTGAACTGAACTTCTCTGAGCTCATGCTGTCCCTCTCTGCAAACACCCCACAGTATCAAATGCTGAAACTGAGAATTTCTATTGTTTTCTGAAAAATAGATGTCCATTTTGATTTTGATACCAGCAACATGTTTCCAAAAGTTGGGACAGGGGCAACAAAAAACTGGTAAAGTTGTGTAATGCTTAAAAAAAAACACCTGGTGGAACATCTCACAACTAATTAGGTTGATTGGCAACAGGTCAGTAACATAACTGAGTATAAAAAGAACATCTCAGAGAGGCGGAGTCTTTCAGAAGTAAAGATGAGGAGGAGAGGTTCACTCTCTGAAAGACTGTGTGGGCAAATAGAGGAACAATTCAAGAATAACGTTTCTCAAAGTAAAATAGCAAAGAACTTTTGCTTTTCATCATCTACGGTACATAATAACATTATAAGACTCAGAGAATCTGGAGAAATCTCTGTATGTAAGGGACAAGGCCAAAAACCAGTATTTGCTGGCTGTGATCTTTGGGCCCTCAGGCAGCACTGCATTAAAAACAGACATGATTCTGTAGTGGAAATCACTGCATGGGCTCAGAAACACTTCTGAAAACCACTGTGAACACAGTTTGTCGCTGCATCCACAAATGCAAGTTAAAACTCTACCATACAAAGTAGACACCATATATAAACAGGATCCAGAAACGCTGCTGCCTTCTCTGGGCCTGAGCTCATTTAAGATGGACTGAGGTGATGTGGAAAAGTGTTCTGTGGGCCAAAGAATAAAAATGTAAAATTCTTTTTGGAAATCATGGACGCCACATCCTTCGCGCTAAAGGGGAAAGGGACCATTTGGCTTGTCATCAGTGTACAGATCAAAAGCCAACATCTGTAATGGTATTGGGGGGCATTAGTGCACATGGCATGGGTGACTTACACATCTGTGAAGGCACCATTAATGCTGAATGATATATACAGGTTTTGGAACAACATATGCTGCCATCCAGACGACGTCTTTTTCAGGGAAGGCCTTGATTATTTCAGTAAGACGATGTCAAACCACATTCTGCATGTATTACAGCAGCATTGCTCCGTATTAAAAGAGTCCGGGGCCTAAACAGGACTGCCTGCAGTCCAGACCTGACACCCACTAAAAACATTTGGCACATTATGAAATGAAAAACACAACAAAGGTGACTCTGAACTGTTGAGCAGCTGAAATCCTGTATAAAGCAAGAACAGAAAAACATTTCACTTTCAAAACTACAGCAGTTTCTCCTCAGTTCCCAAACGCTTACAGTGTTGTTAAAAGAGGTGATGAAAAACAGTGGTAAACAGGCCCCCATCCAACAATAAAAACAATAAAATTTCTCAGTTTCAACATTTGATATGTTGTTTCTGTACTATTTTCAATTAAATATTGGATTGAATTAAATTCTCTTGGAAACAGGGTTGTATTATAAGAAGGAAGAAAAAATTGAGTTTTCCGTGATTTGGGCCCTGTAATCACTTTTCAGAGTTTAAAGAACAACCTACTTTAGACATATTAATATTTATATTATTATAATATTAGTCAGTAATAGAATAAGTTAGAGAAGCAGTCTTACTAAATTTATGGACACTGTTTTCTCCCAGTGCTTTTCATTGATGATTCCTGCATTATTGCAGAATATATCCACTTGGCCAAACTTTGAGAGGACTTTCTGGAATGCATCTGTAACGAAAAGAGAGAACGACAACAGTAGTGCATTAGACCTCACGCTTCATTATGAAAATACTGTGTTTTAAATTCTTTTTTATCGCAACATACACAAAAAGAACAAAAGTGGCCCAAACACAGAGCCCTGTGGGACACCACACACTTTTATAGATATACTCACCATGAGTTACAAAATATTGCCTTTCACTGTATATATATCATAAATCACACAAGCATGACACTGTGACATGCATGTAGTCTTCAAATCATTAACTACATTAGTGCTGTACCTGATCAATGGCCTTGTCTTCTGGACTATGACCGGATTTCAAACTGGGCACACTGGCTATGAACTTTCACAGTTAAGGACAACAAATCCTAAAAATTGACTAGATAGGTAGGCAGAGTTGTCAATAACATTGACATATGTTTAGATTTATGGCCACAGTTTATGTAAGAATATAAGTAAAGTATGGAAGGCAAATGAAATCCGTAGGTGCTGAAATACAACGATGCAATGCAAATAAGGAAACTGCAGGTCAGTATTATGTTGCATTACATAAACAGCCTTACATAAGCTTTATTTACTCTTCCATGCCTTGAATTGCAATAACTGTTCTGTGCAACATCCCTTCAACATGGCTCTCAGTACAGGACGCTTTATTCTTTTATTCTGTGTATATATTTACTTCATTACATTTTAATTTGAGATTTTGTATATTATAGCCTGTGTTTATACTTTTACACTTTTACAATTTTACCAGTTTCAAGCATCCACAGGCTTGCTCCAAATGACATCTCACTGGACTTGTACAGTGACAGTAAAGATATCTTATCTTACTATTTAATACATAAAAAGTAGCAGCATAAAACAGTGTAGCAATATACAGTACAGTCATAAGTAAGAGCATTGGTGATATAACTAATTTGCTCTGCTTTTGCTATTCCAGGATGGGAAAAATGTCCAAATATAATGTGTCATTAATATTGTTTGTATTAATAAAGTCTTGCTCTCCCAGAAACACAACAACAACGGTCTCTTCTTGTTTTTCCAGTGAAACGGAACAAACATTTTGCATTCAGCTTTGATTAACTAACATCCTGGTTACTGCAGCTGGTATAATCATCAGATACATCAGCATCTAAAGCAGATTATTTCATACATTCCTCTCACAGTTACAAAACTCCAGCTTGGTTACACCTGCTACACTGAACAGTGCTTTGAGTGTACAGGACGTGTCAGTCGGCAGCACAATAATACTACAATATTACATCTACACAATTGCTGATACCAGTTTACTTGGGCAGGAACTGTGTTGTTGCGGCGTATTTTATTCACGTGTGCCAGTTTGACACATTTGAATCATGCAAAGCAAAAGTTTTAATATCCATCAACAACACTGACTAATGCCTCTCAGTCATTCTCTACTGCAGTCAAATAACCACGGAAACTTGAGCCAGCAGTTAGGGCCGGGCTCCTGTAGGCACGATGTATAAAACTAATCGGACTGGATCTGCTCACTTCTATAGTAAGACATTATCTCACTGCAAAAAAAACAACAAAAAAAAATCAAAAAAGAAACGTCTGCAGCAGCGTTTCTTCTGAAATGAGGGTGTGTTAATAGTGAGTTTGTGCTGCAGGAACAGCCTCAACTCTTCTGGAAAGGCTCTAGATGTTGAACATTGCTGTGAGGATTTGATTCAGCATTAGGGAGGTCAGGTACTGATGTTGGATGGTCAGTTCTGGATCACTCCAGCTCATCCCAAAGGTATTGGTTGGAGCTCCATCACTCCAGAGAACCCAGTTCCACTGCTCCCCAGCCCAATGCTGGGGGGCTTTATACCCCTCTAGCCCACGCTTAGCATTGGACACAGTGACCTTAGAGTCATGGGCAGCTGCTCTGTCTCATTCTGCTGATCAGTGCTTTTCTATGGAGGTTATACAGCAACGAGCAGCTGGATTCACTCATTAGAAGGACTGTCTGGATATTTTTGTACATGCAGACATTTTAACTTACGTAGTGATCTTATCAACTGAAACGATTTGCCTGTATTGGCAGATAATTTTACTTCCTTCAAGCGTAATTTCTTGAAGCGTGAGAAAACTGTATCTAGAAACAGGTGGAGTAAACTTAACATCAGTCTCATAACGAGAGATCTGCTGATTTTCATAAAATGTCTGCATGATTAAGTGGTTACGATGTCATTCAGAGTGGTTTGGTGTGAAACGCTCCGTTCTAGATAAACTTACTGAGTCAGAACTGTTCACAGTGGTGGTGATAGGAACCAGATGTCCACCTCTAAAAGCTCCCTCACAGAAAGTTACTACGTGAAATGGTTATGAATTCACTGCCTGATGACTGAGACACTGTTTTATGATCGTTTTGAGACGAATTTTGGTCTTTAAATCCATTCATAGTGGAGAGATTTAAAAAAGCAACCTCTTTGAAATTCCTTCAGTTGTCAAGACTTGCCAGACTCAGATGTGATTATTAGTTAGATTATTATTAGATTATTAGGCAAACCCTTGTTACGTAACTGAGTGTAGTAACATGTCATAAAGCCTGGTGTAATGTAACTGTAGCTTCTGACACCCTTTACACAACTTCCGAAGCTGCAGGCTGCAAGGAAAACAAACGCACTACAGAAGAGGAAAAAAATTTAGATTAAGACAGAAAAATTAAGAGGATTGTTAAACAAGCACATACATGTGTTTCCATTACCTTAGCATATCACACACACACACACACACACACACATTTTCTAAACCACTTATCCTTCTGGGTCGTTGGGGGCCGGTGGTGGAGCCTATCCTAGCTGTCAGAAGGTAGGGCAGAGGGCAGGATACACTCTGGACAGGATACACTCTGGCCTGACTGCATGTCTTTGGCCTGTGGGAGGAAACCGGAGCACCTGGAGGAAACCCACACAGAAAGGACCCTGGCCGCCCGGCTGGGAATTGAACCCAGGCCCTTCTTGCTGTGAGGCGCACTGAGCAATAGAATGGGACACTTTGGAGTAGCTGCTCAAGTGTGGGCTAGAGGGGTATAAAGCCCCCCAGTATTGGGCAGTGGAGCTGTGTTCTCTGGAGTGATGGAGCTCCATCCAATACCTTTGGGATGAGTTGGAGTGATCCAGAACTGACCATCCAACATCAGTACCTGACCTCACTAATGCTCAATCAAATCCTCACAGCAATGTTTCAACATCTAGTGTAAAGCCTTCCCAGAAGAGTACATTTAGTCCTGTATTGAGACACTGTCATTTAAAACTGCAGAGAGGAAATGCGTCAGCGCCTGGCAGAGTTACACCACTTCCTTCGCCACCACATACCAGCAGCTACACATCTGTCTCTATAGAGGACAGCACTTCGGAAATTAAGGGACTGTCTAAAAATGCACAAAGTCAACTGTTTTATATATAAATCAGGTATAACATTATGACCACCTCTTTGTTTCTACGCTCATTGTCCATTTTATCAGCTCCACTTACTATATAGGTGCACTTTGTAGTTCTACAGTTATTTGTCCACTATAAAGAGCGATTGGTCCGCGAGTCTCCTGGGCCGCTAAAGCCGTACCATAAAGGCTAGAAAAGCTACACTGATTAAAATAGGACCACCTGTCGAAATTAAATAATTCTCCATAGTTTATCAGTTATGGTCCAGGTCCGCATAGGACAGCATCTGGGTCCGGAGTCGGACTGCGGTCCGCCAATTAGTGACCTCTGCTCTAGTCCTTCATCAGTGGTCACAGGACACTGTTGGCTGGATATTTTTGGTTGGTGGACTATTCTCAGTCCAGCTGTGACACTGAGGTGTTTAAAAACTCCAGCAACACTGCTGTGTCTGATCCACTCAGACCAGCACAACACACGCTAACACACCACCACCACGTCAGTATGCAGATATATATATATATATATATATATATATATATATATATATATATATATATATATGCATAACAGTAATATCATTATTATTATGAATATTATTGTTGTTGTTATTATTAATGGTCATTAAATTTCCCTATTGCAACAGCCCGTGATGACAATGTCCCTAAATACATCCTCTACAGAGAACACACTTCTGCACAATTTCTGTTTATTTGCTGAATTTAACATACATAAATAAAAAAAACAAAAAAACATAAAACGTGCAAAAGGTTTTTTTCCCAATATGTTCAGAACATAAATAGAAATTGTGCATTAAAAGTTGCAGAAAACTGCCATGTTTAAGTTTAAGCATTCTCCCGGCACCATCTTAAGGCCTCTTCCATTACTTTATTAGCTGAAGTATAGGGAAATCACTGTGACCTGACACATTTCCCTTTAAAAGCCATGGCAATAAACTATTTTAAAATGCTCCACTAAAGGCTACACAGCTATCAATAACGAAAAGAAAAGTGTTCCAGACAAAGCAGTTACTCCCACACATTATGTACGCTATGCTCACATATCTTGACAACATTTTGCATTGCAAAGTTTGCATGGCTAGCTGATTAGCTCACTGAGGCGTGTGTGTTCCCACTGAATAGTCCACTTCTTACGGTCACCTCTTCTGCATGTGGCCAGTTGTGTAATTTATATGAGTTGTGAGTCAAAGTGGGTGAGAGTGAGTTAAAAAGAGAACTGAAACGGGCTCTGATTTCCTGTATCCCAGCCTTATGTTGCAAAACTGTAAAAAACCAAACTTACTACATTTATGTAGGCCTAACCCACCTTTTAGTCCACATATTGAGATGTTTGCTTGCATTTTGCTAAACAAACCTACACAAAGATGTTCACGTTGTGCGTTTTTAGACGCTCCCTTACTCTCTCAAGCATGGAAAGCTTAAATTTTGCTTTCAAATTCACAGTATTTGCTTGTAATAACCCTGCTAGAAAAACCAGCACACGCTATCCTGGCTGGCCACCAGCAAAACTGTCATATGTCGTGTTTTAGAAATGCTGGTCCACCAGCATGACCATGCTGGGTGAGCGGCTAAATCAGCACCAGATCAGCACTAGACCAGCATAAACCAGCATAGCTGTTTTTTCAGTAGGGAAGCAAACAAACGTCCACTTTTTGCACTTTTTAGACGCTCCCTTACTCAGTGAGGCGCAGGAAATTCCACAATCTTCACCAAAACTCACTGGAAGAAACTTTTGGCGTGTTTTCTGTGCTTCACATGTTCAGTTTATAAGATAGAGGAGAAAAGCTCCATATTCAGCTTAATATCCAGACTTAAACCAGCTTTCATAGAACAAACCTGCATTTCGACGCTACTCGCCAGCTTCGCATTGGAACTTTCCGTTCCACCTTAAATGGCGCGGCACTTACATTGTGATGTAACGGAGAAAAGCGTAACTGCTGCGCCATTTAAGGTGGAACGGATAATTCCAGTGAGAAGCTGGCGAATACGACGCTAACCTCAGCTCAGATCTTCTTCAGTTCACAGCTACAGTCAGAAGCGGGTTTAGGGAGATGATTAAAACCTTCAAGAACCTCCTACCTTTAAACTGCTGGTCTGAGGAAACATCTGCTGCATAAAAATGGGTCCTGTCTGCGCCATATGCTTCATTAAGCTGCGTCTCCAGCTCTTTACCAGCCTTTTCATTGATGTCCAGCAAAGCTACCTACATCAGGAGCACATCTGTAAGTCACTGGGTGAGATCATGGGATGTGTATGAGAGTTATGGGCGCTGAATATTAGAAAAAGTCACTGTTTTTTACTCACTTTGGCTCCATTTTGCAAGAGAATCTCAGCAAATCCTTTCCCCAAACCCTGAGCAGCACCAGTCACCACAGCCACTTTACCCTGCAAGGCCATCATGTAAAGACATGCAGCCTGCAGAGCAATGAGAAGAGCAATAATACAGTGATTTGTTGAGAAAATACAGACATTACAATTAGCAGATTAACAGTAAGTGGCTTACGGTGTCTTCTGTGCGTTTTCGTCCAGATGTGAGCAGAAGCTGAAGCTTGCTTTTGTTTCTTGGTGGCTTTTATAACTCCATCAGCCTGGCTGTCACAGAAGGAGGAGTTTAGAGGAATGCCTTTAAAGGGCCCATATACTACATTTTTTGTATTTTATTATAATTTTTTCACCCACTTACAATGTTTGTGTGGGTTCCAACAGCTGAAGGCTGAATTGGTGTATATATGTAAATGTGTTGGTTTCTGTGATGTCACAAAATAAGTAAACAGGCTGTTTTTGCAGCATAGTTTCCAAACATGGGCATAGTTTCCGTATATGGTCTGGATTATTGGACTGAAACTTTTACAGCGTTTACATACTTCTGTTTTTTAAACAAATGGGGACAATTCAGTTTTCCATGATATGGGCCCTTCACTGTGTTTTTTGTTGTGTCTAACAGTGAATGGAAGCTAGTAGTAACCCAAATGAGCATGATGCTATTTGCATAACAGGAATTATAATAAAAAAAAAAACACAGACGTCGACGAAGCGGCTCAACGTTTAGTAAAATTCAAAGAGAGAAAAGTGAAAATAACAGATGAGCTGATTCAAAGTGAAATATAAGCGCAGGTACACTTGTATACGGTTCTATTTAGAACCTTTTTGAAAATGGTTCTATATAACACCAAAAAGAGTTATTCTACTGTTACAGGCTTGCCATTGTAACAGTAGCAGAACCCTTTTTGGTGCTAGAACCATCAGTCTGAAGAACTGTTTCACCATACAAAGAACCATTTAAGCATGCAAAGGGTTCTTTGAGTGTTCACGGTTCTATATAGAACCATTGTCTTTTCTAAAGAACCCTTAAATCCCTTTTCAGAGTGTAGATAATGCTTCTCTTTAAGTGTAATATTAAATATGCCTCTTGGTGGCTGTTTGCTTTCATTCACTGTTGGCAAGATCAGCTTTTTTGACTAAACTGTTCCTTTAAAGTCGGTTCTGAGGTTAAAGTGTGTGTGTTTAGTGTAGAACACAAAGTTTAAAAGTCCAGTACGGGCTGCACATCATACACAGGTGAAGGTTTCTAACGTTCACTTAATAAATATGTCAAATATGATAGCGACTAACTTACAGTGTCAACTACAAATCACTCATATTCAGTCTTCAGCTCATCTCAGTCAGAATCACAGTCACTTTTTAGGCTCAAATGCAGTTTCATGTACAGATAAAAGGAATCGATCTGATATATGGACTGTAGATAATACAATCAGTAAACAAATAACACAGATAAATACAACATACAGCCAAATACACTGTACGATTCACACAGTTCATGACTTGATTCATACAGCAGAAATTAGGAGCGCCTGAAAATGAGCCTGATGTTAATGTATTACGTGTTCATGAGTTAATGTTTCCATTTTCGCTTCACTAGAGCGCTCGGCAGTACAATATCAGAGACTTCAGAACGGCTCAGTGAGTTTATCCTCATCTGTTCCGTCTGCTTTTCTTACCAGCATGTAAACATTAAACCAAAGCTGAACTTTGTAATCTAACAAGATCAAAATCAAACCAACATGATGAGAGAAAAAAAACAGGAAATATCTCAGTTTAACAAACGCAGCACTGACTATTTTAACTGTGCACTCCAGTTCTGACTGACAGAGAACTGCAGACGAGTGGTGTCAGTGCAGCCATGAGCTAATGTGCTAGCCCTGAGATAACGTGCTAGCCCGGTGCTAACAAGCTATCTACGATACAGCAATCATATGACACAATATGATCCATTATAATATGTTATACATTATAAAACAACACGAGACAATGTGATACAATATTATACATTACATTATGATACAAAATTATATAATATGATATAACATTATACATTACAATACATTATGATACAATGTAATATAATATTATACATTACAATACATTATGATACAGTATAATATAGTATTATAAACTATTATACAATATGATGCAATATGATATGATATTAAACATCACAATACATTATGATACAAAATGATATTATACATTAAAATATGTTCTGATACGATATTAGGGCTGGGCGATAAAACGATAACAATAAGTATCGCGATATATCTTTTCCTCGATAGAGCGATAAGATAGGTTTGATAAATGTTCGATATAATACACCATTCTCACACTTCTATGTTTTAGCGAAAGCCCTGGTGGCGTTTTCTACTGCAAGGAAAGCGACACTACTCCGCGGTCGCCAGGAGAGGGCGCACTTCTGAATTTTTCGACTTGATTAGAGAGGGAGGAGGCCACGAGTAAAAAAAGGTCGCCAAATATATTTTAGCAACGGCTGAAACACGGAGTTATACGGTCCCTGTTTGAGTGGAGTGACCGGCGATCTGTTCTCCTGTGACCGAGTGTGAGTGACGAGGTCAGTGGTGTAACTATACTGACCTACAGCGAACTCACCTCTTTCCGTGCATCCTAACAACTTTAGCGGTGTTAAATCACGTCTGCAGCGCCGTGTTACAGCGCCAAACCGCCATATTTTAGTATTAGTGCATTCTCGAGCAACGAAAGTGAAAGAAAGAAGTGGTTCATGTTTGAAAGTAAACTGAGGAAGCTGTGAGGCATTGGAGAGCGGGAGAGCGCTGTCTTTTCAGGCTAGCTGTTTTTAGCTGCTGGCTAATTGAAGCAGCGCTCCGGCAAAACACAGTGAATTGATGATACGGTAGATCAAACAAGACATAAAATCACCGCTTTTAGTTTAAACATGCCTAAAAGGAGGACTCTGTGACTGGTGTGAGAGATTCACACTGCAGATAATGCTTTTACACAGCGAGCGTCAGATACACTGCGGTTCTCCCCTCAAACTACTACGATAGCATAGAGAAACCCAGTCGTCTAGCTGGTGTCTGAATACTGTGATCTGCTCTGACATGGATGTGGTGGGAGTGACAGCAGTGACCTACCGAGACGAGTTGACGTTGTTGAGAAACTAAAGAGTTTAGCACTGTTGTTGGCCACTTGTTTAGCGTTTGTAGCGGGGTAGCCGAGCGCTCGTCACCAGACAGCTAAAAATAATCTGTTTTCTTTCTTAAATCATGACTATTACAAAAGCTGCAGCTGTGCTTTTCCAGCTGATAAAAACAGCTCAGAAACTTTCTCCCACTGTCCCAAGACAGATTAGTGAAATGTTCCACTGTTTGCCGAGTGTTTGTCATGATCGGACCATAAGTGATAGTTTAAAACCACAGTTAACCACCCAGGAGCAAAATCAGCCTTCAAACGTGAAAGAAATCATGATTTGACATTTATCGCGATATGTATCGATATCGAACGATATGAATTTTGTTTATCGTGATAACGTTTTTGGCCATATCGCCCAGCTCTATACGATATGATACAATATGATCTGATATTATACATTATAATACATTATGATACACTATGATACAATATGATATGATATACATTGCAATAGGTTATAATATGCTTTGATACAATATGATATAATATTATATATTACAATACATTAGGGTACAATATGACACAATATGATATAATATTATACTTTGCAATATGTTATGATATGTTTTGATATACGTTACAATATGTTATCATACAATATGATATGATATTATACATTACAATGCATTATGATACGTTATGATACATAATGTATTATACATTACAATGCATTATGCTACAGTATGATACCATACCATACAATAAGAAACTATACATAATGATATGTAATCTGATACATTACACTTTATGATACAAAATGATATGATACAAAACAACATGATACCTTATGATATAATATGATAAATTACAATACAATATGAAACAATCTGAAAAATTATGACATAATATGTTACAATACAATACAATATGATACAATCCAATATAATATCATACAAAACAGTACAATATAATACATTAGAATAAGTTTGGATACAATATGATACCAAATGATACCATGAGAAACAACATGATCCAATGTGATATAATCTAACATAATATGATACAACACAAAACAACATGATGCAGTACGACAGAATTGGTGTGAAATGCTCCGTTCTAAAGAAGTTATTACTGGAAATTCCTATCACCACCACTGTAAAGACGTCTGAGTCTCCACAATCTACTTTTCCACTCCAACCCCCTCCCTCCCTCCCCGTACCACTGGTCCACCCATCCCCCTTTTATGTACATACGTTTCTAACAATTTTTAAATAAATAAACTCAATTTTTAGTCATATGGTTTGATTGAAAATCTTCAGATTTGTGCTCAGAGAACTTGCAGACCAAAGGACATGAGTGCTTTAGGCACGGTGGTGTCGTGTTTTTTTACGTACTGTGAACTGAATGGCTTTAACTCAGGCTCTTACAATAGAGGCCTGTGAGCTGCTCAGTATTGCATAACAGAGGTGCAGCACAGAAACCTGCCCAAACCTGCAGAATACCGTCCTTCAGCCCCTCCCTGTTCACTGACACCACCAGCACCAGCCTGATCCCCTCCCTGTTCACTGACACCACCAGCACCAGCCTGATCCCCTCCCTGTTCACTGACACCACCAGCACCAGCCTCAGCCCCTCCCTGTTCACTGACACCACCAGCACCAGCCTCAGCCCCTCCCTGATCACCGACACCACGAGCACCAGCCTGATCCCCTCCCTGTTCACTGACACCACCAGCACCAGCCTCAGCCCCTCCCTGATCACCGACACCACGAGCACCAGCCTGATGCCCTCCCTGTTCACTGACACCACCAGCACCAGCCTCAGCCCCTCCCTGTTCACTGACACCACCAGCACCAGCCTCAGCCCCTCCCTGTTCACTGACACCACCAGCACCAGCCTGATCCCCTCCCTGTTCACTGACACCACCAGCACCAGCCTGATCCCCTCCCTGTTCACTGACACCACCAGCACCATCGTCATCATCACTCTTATTTATGTAGCACCTTTCAAGGACGCTTTACAAACAACATGAACACATTAAACAGAAAGTACCTAATTAGTTAGAAGTAGTAGTGCAGTACAGATGAAACACAGTGAAGACAAGTAAGTCTTTAACATAGACTTAAATGAAGACAGAGAGGAGGGATCACGAATAGATGGGGGGAGTATTCCATCATTTGGGAGCTGCTACACTAAATCATCGACCACCCAT